CAGATGAATTCATGGAAGATCAAGCTCCAGAATGATCTCTGGAGGTGATCTAGTGCAACAGTGGAAAATTATGACCATTCTGTCCTGCTTATAAACTTTCTGTGTGCTTCTACTGGTACTGTAAGGATACGTTCACCCCACACATTAGAAAGAGCTAAAATCAGGTTGGTTAGTTTGTGGATCAGCATATGGTGGGAAAGCCAGCCACTTCTTGGTGAAGCAGTTCCAAACCACGATTCATTCAAAGCATTATGGAAGCAAAGAACTCTGTCAAGGATTTGCAAAGACTTACTAAGCATTCGCTGAAGTCACCCACCATCTCCCAGCAATGCTGCCAGGGCAAGATCCTCATACCTATCTCCAGGAACCCACAAAGTAGAAGAAGCCTCCTATTTCAGCACCACACAAGTCTTAAAAAAGCACCAGAGGTTCTGTCCCTCTCCAGAAGGAGAAAATGTGCCGTGTGGGAGAGAAGCAGCATCAAGGGCAGCAGTGTTCCTAAGAAGCCATGATGACATTAAAATGAGAACAAGTGCATCATGATGTCACTGCACAAACATCTCGATTATATAATTGCATTGTACCATCTGATGCACTTACACAAGTCACATCATTTGCGTGGTGGTGTCAAGAAGCATGTGTTGGCCATCATCTAAGAGGAAATAGAGGAGCCCCGTAGAGGCTGTTTCCCAGGGCCTTGGAAGTATCACTCAACTCTGGCTGCATTGCTACCCTGTTTTGAAAAATAGTCTTTTATAATGTTGTGCAATTCACAGCAAGACCTTACAGGCACAGCAAGACCTTTTCGCCAGCTTCTGAGCACGCTCAGAAATCTCCTTTCCCCTTGGAGTGATAAAATCACTGTTCCCTGACCTAGAGCGTAGGATCGTTGCTCCTGGGCACTTGAGAGAACTGTAGCTGAATGGCAGAACACTCACTTTGCATACAGAAGACCCTACACTCAATGCTGTGACTCTTCTGCTGAGATTGCTCTTGTCTAACACCAAAGAGAATTGTTGCAAGTCAATATAAACGCTATCAGGCTCGTTAAACCACTGGTATGACTGGCATGAGGGAGCAGCCTATGTTTCTTAGGACTGGCTAAGCTGATATTGATGCAACAGCTTCATGTTCCACCTAAATTCCAGTGACCAGCTCACTCTCCCCAGTGTCCAGATGTTCTTGTCTCATTTTCAAGGTCTGAGGAAGAATTTTGCATAGCTTTCATTTTTCCTTCCCCCGCTCTCCTTTTTATGCATTCCCCTCAAACTTCCTCCTTTGTTCATGTTAGTGGGATTGGATAAGATGTACAAGTGAGCAATGCTCAATATACCATCAACGTATTAGGAAACATCCCTTTTCAGATGTTTTAGTCCCTGAATAGAAGGTTCCACTTACTGTAGTTTTTATGATGCAAAATCCATTCCCATATCTAACCTGATGCATGGTCTCCCCTCTGTTGGCATTTTCCCAATGAAGAAAAGCAGATTATTCCTTTGAAACCCACAATCGTGCCGGCATTATTATTACATCAGAAACCTCAGATGGACTGCTGCAGCCCATGGGTCATCTGTTTCCTGTTGGAAAGATTTCTCCCTATGCTTCCCCATGCCTGTGCTCAACTTCAGCATTTCATTTTTGTTTGAAATGATGACCATTTATAATCAACTTTCTCTCTTCCTCCATAAAAGTTGACTGGTGCGTTCATAAAGCTTCTCATATCAGTTGTAAACTGTTGTAATCCATTCCCTGATCCCAGTCAGACTTTAAAGGACACCTGTTTAGAGAAATGAACCAATCCAGATTTTGGAATTAACCAGAGAAACAAGAAAAGGGATGAGAACAATGGGTAGAAAGCAGAAGTGATTCAATTTCTTCTGGTAAATTGTTAAGGTTTGTCTGTAGCTCTTCCCTGACTTTGACACCTTACTTGGAAAATCTTCAAGCAATGCAACATTTATTTAAAACCAATCTTCCTTCATTCCCCCACTGCCCCCCTTCTGTAATGCAAGATTAAAATGAAACCATCAAATTCGCATCTCCTTGATAAAGCTTCTGAATTCAGTCTTGCAAACTGTCAGGCAAACATAGAGAAAAGAAGGCAGAGAAAATCATACAGGGAAAAATGAAGGCTAGCCATTTATTTCATTTCTTGTAAAAGGCCATGAAAAGAATTTTTAATTATATATGACCTATGCAGATGTAAGTGCTAGAGGTGGGTCTTTTAGGCAGGTGGAAAAATTCACCCCTTGGTTAATGTGTAGCAGCAGCTCTGAACATGGATCAGCTAACATTTTCTGTAAGACTTCCAAAACTAAATACATGTGCATTATTATAGCACTTTATCATATCGACTAGAAAAATGTAGTACAGGTAATTCCCAGTTTAAGAAAGAGTTCCATTTGCAAGGTCTGTCCTTAAGTCAATTTGTACATAAACCGGAATAGAATTATTGTATAATACTGAATAAATAGTATTGTGTAATGAACTTGAACCATTGTGTATTTAACTCGAATCATGGTGTATTTAACTTGAATTTTGCTACAAAAGGCTCCATTCTTAACTATGGGTTGTCTGTAAACCAGGTGTTCTTAACCCGTGGACTACCTGTGCTCAAGAATGTCCCCTTTGCATTTAAGTGCGTGTTGTGAAAGCTTGGGAAATGGATAGGCTGATGATTCATAAAGGCTCTTTTCCCATGACATCAGCTGCCTTCTTAGAAATCTCTTCAACTGCTTACATTATCCTACACAGGATCTGACAGCGACACAAATGCGCAGAGTGCTTTCTAAAAGCATAGCTAAATTTTATCGGATTGGGTTGAATCATGGAAGATAAAGACATACAAGGAAATCTCCATCGCAGAGTTTTGATGCAAAGGGAAGCGCCTGAAAACAATAAAAAAAAAAGAGAGAGAGAGATGGAGCTTCATTGGAGAAGTCAGTTTATTCATGCAAGCATTTGTGGGTAAAAATGATTATTGACAGATCCCCCGTTTCCCATCTTCCATATGCACACACACCTTTGTGAACAATTTCATTTCTGAGAATGGAGGATTCATGCAATGTAGTTAAAATATTTCCGCACCAAGAGTTCATTAGGGAAGATTCTAGATCAGTGTTTCTCAACCTTGGCAATTTTAAGATGTGTGGACTTCAATTCCCAGAATTCCCCAGCCAGCCTGGACTTCCCCAATCAAAACCCAGTACCTTATCCACTACACCAGTGTTTCCCAATCTTGGCAATTTTAAGATGTGTGGACTTCCACTCCCACACGTGGCTGGGGAATTCTGGGAGTGGAAGTCCACACATCTTAAAATGTTTAAGTTTGAAAAACACTTTTCTAGGTATTTCCCATTTCCCATTTGGGTGTTTTAAGGTAGGGAAAAGATATTTGAAGAGAGATGGCTTAACATTTTTTCTTTATGTTGTCATTTAATCATTTATTTCAGTTCAAACCTGCAGACCCTGCCTCTTCAGCTTTCAATGCTTTTTTTTTTTCTTGAAGGGAGAGAGAAGTGGAAAGAATTGTACGGTTGCTGAAATTGCATACATCGTCCTGTTTCGACAGGAGTTTCACACCTCTGCACACCTCTTCCATTTTTTGGCTATGATAGAGCTCTATGAGCCTGTTGTGCAACAGGTCAAGCCACCCATCATAGTTTCAAACAAGTTGGAAGAAATCTGGATGATCATTTAGTCCAACAGCCTGCTTAGCATAAGACTACAGTGACTATATGTCACTTTTTATAAAGGATATTCCTTTAGTTCAGAAATAGAGTCCACCGGAGATGGGTAGTCAATAAATTCAAAGAAGAAAGAAAGAAAGAAAGAAAGAAAGAAAGAAAGAAAGAAAGAAAGAAAGAA